CTTTATAGCCACCATGTTTAAAACTAAATTTATTTTCATGCCCAGAGACCCTGATCTTTCTCCTGTATTTCTGTTTTTAGTTAATGGCTTGTCTTCCATCCATTTAGCTAAGCCGGAAACCTAATCTCACAGTCATTTTTGATGGCTTCTTCTTCACTCACTACAAGTCCTGGTGATTCCATCTTCTACATGTGTCTTGTGTCCATCCCTTCCTCTCCATTCCTACCCCACTGCCTTGGTAGCGGATCCCATCACCTCTTACCTGACCTCTTGCAGCAACCTCTTAATTGGTCTCCCTCAAATAGTTTCAGTTTTCTAGTTTCTTCCTGCTTCACTCCATCCAGGGTACTTTTTATAAAACCCAAGTTCGTTCGTGTCACTCCTCTACTTAATAATGTAAGTTGGGTCCCCAGTGCCTACAAAACTGAGTCCAGACTCCTTAAAAACATGACTTACCAAGTGCTTAGCAATCCAGTAAATCTTTACTGTCCACTCCTCTTCCTCACTTCCAAACTACCAGGCTAAGTTAGTAATTTTTCTAAAGCCCCATAATGCCTTGTACATACCGCCACTGATTCTTTTAGCCTTTGATATATATCATCTATGCATGATTTGTATCTGATTTTACCAAAATCACCTCCTGCCACTCTGCCCCACCCCATCCCCCTCTTCTCCAACGTCACTGGGCTTCTGATTATTCTCCACCAGCAATGCATGTCCTTTCACAAGCCTGGGCCTTGGCCCACGTTGTTTACTCTTCCTCAAAGGTCCGCCCTCTCTTCTCCATCTGGCAAATTCTTATGCATTAGTTACAGCTCATAAGCCTGTCACCTCCCTGCTGATGACTTCCTTGAGCCAATCAGCAGAGTTAGTTATTTCTTCTGTGTTCTCATAGCCCTTTGCCCTTTCCTTCAGCAGTCACCACCGTTCACACTTTTGGCTGCCTCGCCTATTTTGAATACCTCCACTATGTTTGGCAAATTTTTAGCCACATGAATTATGTTTCTCTAAGGTAGAACCCCCAAAACCCAAATTTCCCTTATAGGTAGGCAACAGTTAAATAACTTGGACTATTTTCCTTGAAGTGAGCAATAAATGTGCCAGTAATGGGAATGAGGCAGGAAATTAATCTTCTGGTAGAATGGGTGTAAGAGGCCTTTGATCCTTGGGGTGGACAGTGGCAGAGCTGCTGGCATGCAGCCCACAGTGCTGAGAGATGGTAAGAATGGTGTTTGCCAAAACAGCTATCTGGAGTGGTTGGGGATGCTTGGGCTTCAGAGTCTGGCCCTTTGGCTCTCTCAAATATTCCGTGAGCCACCTAAAATCCCTTAATAAGTTAATTTACTGGCTAAACAAGTCTGAGTGGATTCGTTCTTGCAGTGACTGAAAAATGACTGACATGCACTGGTTAGAACACTTATGTTCTAACCAATGTTGTAGTATACATATTTTCTTAAGTGTCTGTCTCTCTCACTAGATTAATCTCAGGTACTGCGTCTTACCTTTTTATGCAGAATTCTAATTTCTTAACACTTACAACAAATACATGTTGAGTGCCTACACTGCACCATACACCATGCTAGTCATTGAGGACATAATTGAGAAAAAGAGGAATGTACAATTTTCCTTATGAAATGTACAATTTAAAAGATCTGTCTGAGGCAGGACATCTATCTGACATCTGTAATCCCAGCACTTTGGGAGGCCGAGGCGGGAGGATCACTTGAGCCCAGGAGTTCAAGACCAGCCTGGGCAATATAGTGAGACCACATCTCTGAAAAAGCAAGAAAAAAGATCTGTCTGAAACATCCTAGGTGTCCAACTGAGTGAGTACACTAATTCATTTGATTAATTACTTCACTTAATGGACATTTGTGTCTGGAAAATATAAGGATAAGTGAGAAATGTTCTCAAGTTTTTCTCTCAGGCTAATAGGAGATACAGAAATATAAGCCAGTTTGATGGATCCCGAAAAGTGTGATAATAAAAATATGTTCCCGATTCGCGGGTGGCACAAAGGAAGGTGCAGTGAAAAACTCTGCTTGGAAAAGCCAGGAATGAAAGACTAAGTTACTGAATGTAGAAATATTTTTGAGTATGCATAAAGATTTCTTCTTGTCCCTTTTTCCTTGTTTCTTCCCTTTCCCTTTTCTTTGCTGTTTCTTACTGTTCCCTTTGCCCTTTAAGGTTCAATCCAAGGGCCATCTTTATAGTAAATCTTTACTGACTACTCCCCTTCCTCCCTTCCAAACTACCATGCTAAGTTAGTAACTTTTCTAAACTCCCTTAATACCTTGTACATACTTCCACTGATTTTTTTTTAGCCTTTGATATATATTTGTGTGTGTGTGTGTGTGTGTGTGTGTGTGTGTGTGTGTGTGTGTGTATAAAATCTATGCATCTGTCATTGCCTCCTCCCCCAAGTCAGGGCCTGGCATATAGTTAGTACAGTACCCAATAAGTCCAATAGCTGTTTCTTGAGGAAATATAAATTAAAGCTGCAAAGTAATACCACCACATCCCCATCAGAATGGCCACAATAAAAAGGATTGTTAATGTCAAGTGTTGATGAAGATATAGAAAAACTGGAAATTTCAAACATCCTAGAAAGAATATAAATCAGTACAATCATTTTGGAAAACGTTTTTGGCAGAATTCACTAAAGCTGATCATATGCATACTGTATTACCCAAAGACTGAACTGCTGGGTATAAGTATCCAGCAGAAATGAATGTGTACATCTCAGAAGGTTCATATCAGTTTTTTTCATTGTTTCCAAACTGGAAACAATCAAATGTCCATCCACAATAATGGATAAGTGAATCATGGTATATTCATACCATGGAACAGTATACAATAATTTTTTTTTTTAATGAAAAACTGCTATGGGTCAGGTGCAGCAGCTTGCCCCTATAATCTCAACACTTTAGGAGACTGAGGTGGGCAAGTCACTTGAGCTCAGGAGATTGAGACCAGTCTGGGCAACATGGCAAAACCTAGTCTCTACAAATGTACCAAAAACAAACAAACAAACAAACAAACAAAAAAAAAAACTGAGCCAGGTGCTGTGGTGTGTGCCTGCAGTCCTAGCTGCTCAGGAGGCTGAGGTGGGAGGATCACTTGAGCTCAGGTGGTCAAGGATGCAGTGAGTGGTGATGGTAACACTGTACTCCTACCTGAGTGACAGAGTGAGACCCTGTCTCAAAAAACAAAACAAAACAACAAAAAACTGCTACAATAGAAGCAACAATACAGGTGGCTTTCACAGACTAATATTGAGCAAAGCAAATTAGAAACAGAGTACATGTGATTTCCCACTAAAATGAAGTTCCAGAAAAGGTACAATTAAATCTCCAGCAAAAGAGGATGAAATAATGGTTAGCTTTTACAGGTAGGAGGTGTAATGTACTGGAAGAGGACAGTAGGGAGATTTCTATGGAAGTATTCTATATTTTTATAATCGTATACATTTACTTATTATTATTAGTTTTTGAGATGTAGTCTTGTTCTGTCGCCCAGGCTGGAATGCAGTGGTACGATCTTGGCTCACTGCATCGCTGCAACCTCTGCCTTCCCGGTTCAAGCGATTCTCATCCCTCAGCCTCCCGAGTAGCTGGGGCTACAGGTTCACCACTGCTACCATGCCTGGCTAATTTTTTTTTTTTTTTTGTATTTTTAGTAGAGATGGGGTTTCACCATGTTTGCCATGCTGGTCTCGAACTACCGACTCCAAGTGATCTGCCTGCCTCGGTCTCCCAAAGTGCTGAGATTACAGGCATGAGCCACCGAGACCGGCCTATAATGAGATATTTAAACGTCACATACAGAAGGATTTTCTAGGACAATGTCAACTCTCCATTAAAAACTTTTTATACCCCAATTATATAAATATGTAAAAATTTGAGTTTTACCCTTATGATTTGTGCATTTTACTGTCTATAGATCATATCTTGATAAAAATATAAATAAAAATGAATGTTTCTTGAATGAGTGAATACATGAATGAATGAGCTATACTTTCAAAGAGGAAAATAAAGCCGTATTACGGAAATAGGATCTTGTACTGCATTGAATTTTTAAGCAGTGCTTAGTTCTTGCACTTTTTTTGCTCTAATGATACCCAAAAATAATTGTTCATTTACTTACTTTGCTTAAGTATTAATTTCCTTTGCTATTTAACCACGACTGTGAAGTTAAGAGAAGAGAGTCATCAACAGTAAAGCAGATGTTGTAAATACCTTGTGGGACGGGTATTTAATTCACTGCGAGGGAATACATTAAGCCCTGGGGGAATTGGGGAATATGGCTAATTCTCTTCTGTTTTTTTAAAAAAGTTTTAATCCTTTTGTGTTTTATGAGATGTGAGTACAAATTAGTTATTCAGACTCTTGAGAGAGCAGAGGAGTTGCCACCCATGTTCACGAACAGGAACAGAAGCCACCAGCATATGCCATTGCCCAAGCCAGCCAAAGACCAGAGTGGAAGAGTCCTAATTGCTGGGCGGCCCGGCCTCGGGATGTGCCTCTCCCACCCTTCTCCAGGCGGGGCTCGTGGCTAAGCAGCGACTCACCCTGTCAGCCTGTCACAGGCCAAGAGCGGCCAACAACTCCGCAGGCGACAATGGCCGCTGCACCCCAGGCTCTGTCGAAGCCTGTCCCGGCTCTGGGTCCCAGCTTAGAGCCTGGGATGGTGTCGCGAGATGCGGTACCCAAGGAATCCAGTAGGTGTCGCTGTCCCGCGGCCGCCGTGCGCCCCCGGGATGGGGACCCGGGGTGTGTTTGCCTCACCTGGGGCTCTCCGCGCTCGCGCCTCACCTGAGCTCGCGTCCCTGACCGCCCGCGCCGCGCGGGGGCGCTCTCCCGCGGCCCGGCCCCGCCTCCTCCCCGAGAGCTCGGGCGGCTGAGCTGCTCACGCTGTGCTGGGCGCTTGTTCTGCAACCCGCTGCCGTCCCCCGCATCCGCGGCGAGGGGGCGGGGTCCCACGGTGCGCTGGGAAAGAAAGGCGGGCGAGCTGGCGCCCAGGTATGTTCTTCCACCGGGCCCGGGAGGCTGAGAGGTCGACGTCCCAGCAGTCGGAGCCGGAGGAGGAGAAGACGATGCCGTTGTCCCCGCCAGCCCAGGGCGACTCCAGGGAGCCCAGCCCGTGCAGGCCCCCCAAGAAGCACACCAGCTTCCATCTCTGGCGCTCCAAAAAGAAGCAGCGGCCAGAGCCGCCTGACTGTGGAGTGTTCGTTCCGCACCTGCTGACGGCGCCCGCCGGCGAGGCCAGGTGAGTTCCTCGCGCGAACCCTCCAGTCCCACCTCCTCCTCCTCCCGCTGCGCTGGCCCTTGGGCCCCTGACCCCACTTGGAAGAGGGGAAAGCCCCGGGGTCCGTTTCACCCCGCAGGAGGGTACCCGGGTCCGGAGGGGAGCGGTCGTGGCCGCTGGGGGTGACCAGGTGCCTCGCGGCTTTTGGCTCAGACCAAGCACCGGCGAGAGTAACTTGTGCCCATCCGTGTGGCTTTTAGTGTGACTGCGAAGCCTTCATGTAGGGGTCTCCCCCATCAGCTTGCTAACCAGAGCAGCGGGGACTGAGGGTTGTTACCGTCGTAAGTGATGATGAGAACTCTGCCTTGGGCTTAGGCGCTGCTCTTGAGCTAGTGCCTTTATTGTAAAGCTCTTTATTGTGAAAATCTGTAAGATTTGTGCTCTTACAGTTGTTATACCTTCATTCTCCTCGCAAGGTACGAAGGGAGGAGGAAGTGGCGGGAATAGTTACCCCCATTTCATGGATGGAGGAACTGAGACCAAAGGATAAATGGCTTCTCCCCGTTGGAGCTAGCGGCCGAGCTAGGGAGCTCCTAGTTAATCCAAACTGTAATTACCATTGTGCTTTTTAATTTTTATCATGGTTTTGAAGCGGCTCTTTTCTACGTGTATAATTATTCGACTCTGCCATCAGAGTTTATGCACTCGTTGAATAATAATCAACTTGAAGTAACAGTGTATTTACATGGCTCAGAGGTGCGAAATATTTTATAGTGATGGACAGTTGACAATGTCCAGTAAATCCTTCTATATGTGTTTTTAAAACACACCCTATGTACAATGAAGGCCAGAAAATTGTGCAAGATTTGCATTTTAGACATATTTATCCTTTTCTAAAAAAGTCAATTTTACAATTTATTTTCATTCATTTAGTAAAAGTTGTATTGAGTACCTTAGCTAAATGCCAAGCGCTGCAATGTGAAAAACAATGAGCGACGGTAAGAACTCTCAATCATCGAATAATTCTTAGTCCCTTGTGGATACCAAAAAGTGAACAGTGGAATAAGTGCAATTATAGATGCCTGCACAGAGGAGGGGATTAGGAAGGCTTCCTGGAGGAAGATAGTTGAAGTGGCTTAGGCAGAAAGGGGAGGAGCAACGAGTCCCAGGCAGAGGCTGCACTGTGCACATCACCAGCATTTAGAAGAGCGTTGCACTTCCTGAGAAGTGCAAGGGGTTGGAACTGGGAGGTCCAGGTGTGAGGGGTTAAGGGTAGGAAAGCTAAGAGAGAAGGCATTTTATTTTTTCTCATATTTCATAATCCACATTGGTAATCAGTTGTAGTAGAATATATTACCTACTCAAACATCTGTGCCTAATTATAGATTATTATTTCTAACAAAATACGCAACTTAATATTGTGCCCAACATCGAAGTTCTTTTCCTATTACCTCAGTAAATATTTTAAACACTTCCATAGTGGTTTTCCTTTTAAGATCTAGCCTCATCATTTCCTGTCTTTCAAAACATAATAATACGCAACTTTAGGAAATTATTCAAATATAAATACGTTTTAGTCTAAAATTTTAAATAGGAAATTTGCTTCTCTCCTTGAGTTTTTTGTATTTTAGTGCAGTCTTGAAGTACTTCATTTTTTCCTTCAGAACCCTGATGAACTTTGTGTTAATAAATGTTCTGAAAACTAAGCGTACTGGTCTATCTTTGGGATGTTTTTCTAGTAAGATCATCTTTATAAATATTTCATTTACTTTTAAGAGAGTGTACTTCTTTCTAGTTTAAAGAGAGTGACAAAAGCACCCTTAGATTGCTAGCCAGTCTTTGGCCCGTGTGGCTCTCTTAAGCCACCTGAGTGTATTCATTCATTTCTGTCCTGGGCTTGGAAGTGATGGAACTTGGCTGGAATGTACAGCACTCACTGTGGTTTTTGTCTGTAAATAAGGAGGGGACAGTCAGGTAGCCACCCATAATTGCTATGTGATTAATATCATGGGTGTTTAGGTCAGACAAAAATGAATTTATCTGCTAGCTTTGTGACCTTGGGCAAGTTATTTCACCTCTTAAAGTCTCAATTTCCTCATCTGTAATATGGAGACAATATGATGCTGACTTTGTAGGGTTGTCATGAATATTAAATGCAAGTTTGTGTTATTAAGTGCAAAAACTTTAATATGTTTCTGAGCACAAAGTAAAAGTCTAATGCAAGAAATGGTAAAAATAGGTTTAGATAAGGGAACAACCAATTCTAGGAAGAGCTTCTTTTCCTAGAAAAGCTTACCAGTCCAGCCAAACGTGGCGGCTTATACCTGTAATCCCTGTGCTTTGTGGAGCTGAATCATCTGAGGCCAGCAGTTTGATACCAGCCTGGCCAACATAGTGAAATACCGTCTCTACTGAAAACACCAAAAAATTAGCTGGGCATGGTGGTGCATGCCTGTAATCCCAGCTACTCAGGAGTCTGAGGCAGGAGAATCCCTTGAACCCAGGAGATGGAGGTTGCAAGGAGCCGAGATTGCACCATTGCACCAGCCTGGGCAATAAGAGCGAAACTCCGTCTTAAAAAAAAAAGGAAAGAAAGAAAAGAATAGCTTTCCAGTCCAAAGATGATTTAAAGTTTATTAAAGTCAGATTTTTGTATTCTGAAAATATTTGTGGCTTTTGGTGTAGACATTCTAATCAATTATTTCTTTATATAAAATTATTTCAATATGGCTACTTCTCTTCCTAAAATTTACTCTTAAAGTTTGTTTCAGGTTGGTTTTGGTAAACGTGGTCATATGATGTTATTTTTCATAAAGATAGAGTTACTGCCTTCCTGAGTCAGCCCCATCCCCTGTCTAGTCCGAAATTCTCTTGCCATTAGAGGGTCTAGCGGTATGGTGGAAAGAGCGTGGCAAGCTGTGGTCAGGCTTACCTGAGCAGCCATGAGTGGCACTGTCACTTACCACATTTTAAATTATACTCTGTCTTATGAATAATGTGTTCAGAATGTGGATTTTCTATTTGGATTTAAATTCTTGTTCTTCTATTAATACTTACCATGACACCTAATCCTATTATCCTAGGAAAGTTATTAACATTTTTGTGCCACAATTTTCTCATTCAGAAAATGGGAATAATAAGAGTTTTGTTTTGTTTTTGGAGACAGTCTTGCTCTGTTGCCAGGCACCAGGCTGGAGTGCGGTGGCGTGATCTAGGCTCACTGCAACCTCTGCTTCCCAGGCTCAAGCAATTCTCCTGTCTCAGCCTCCCGAGTAGCTGGGACTATAGGTGCATGCCACCATGCTCAGCTAATTTTTGTATTTTTAGTAGAGATGGGGTTTCACCATGTTGGCCAGGTTGGTCTCGATCTATTGACCTTGTGGTTCACCTGCCTTGGCCTCCCAAAGTGCTGGGATTACAGGTGTGAGCCACCGCGCCCGACCAAGAGTTGTTATAAAAATAAATGAGTTAATGCATTTCAAGTGCTCAGAACAGTGGCTGGCACATAGTGAGTGCTCAACCAATAGGAATTGTTTCTCTTTTTCTTACTAGTATCTTGCCTATACCTCCTTTTGAGTAGTAATTTTGTGTTTTTCTGTTATCTAATGAAAGTGGTACTTTCTTTTTATTTTCTCTATTCAAACCACTTTGTGTTATTTCTATTCTTTTAAATATTAAAAAATAAACATAAATAGAGACAGGGTCTTGCTGTGTTGCTCAGGCTGGTCTCCAACTCCTAGGCTCAAGCAATCCTCCACCTTGGCCTCCCAAAGTGTTAGGATTACAGGTGTGAGCCACCACACCTGTCCACACTTTTGGTTATTTTGATTAGAAGTGGGTTCTTAGCTAAAGGTCAAAAGTAGTGAATTATTTCCATTGAGTTCTTTGTTTAAGAAACTATATATATATATTTTAAAAGCAGTGAATTAAAAAATATTAACGTTGAACTGAATCGAACCCCACATCTAGAAACAGGCATTAATGCTCTGCAGGAGAGTCAAATTCCAGTAGCGGATGGGCCTCATAATCCTGTGAAAATCAGCCTGCCTTGATTCAGCTGGAGGAAAAGCATAGCCAGTGTCAAGGGCAGAGCATCCTCATTGGGCAGGCAGAGATCTACCTCTGAGTGAAGGCCCTCAGGCTCAAGTTTCAGAACTATAGACAATCCCTTAGTTCTTCTGTGCTCAGTGGACCTTTCCCTTCTATAAAGAGAAAACAACGGACTTTAGAATGTTGTAAGGATAAACTATTGTTGTTTGGAGGGTTTCTTTTTTCTTTTCCTTTTTTTTTTTTTTCCAGAAAAAGAACAATCATTTAAAATGTTATTTGAAAGCATTCTGGAACTGAAGAGTGTTAGTCTTCATAAGTTAAAATTTATTCTAGTTTCCAGTCTTTTGTGGCTGGTTTGGTGCTTAGAACTCTAAACAGGTTTAATTATTTTCTAACCTAAAGAACACAGGCAGATAAGTCTATTTTTGTTTTATGTAATGTTAGATTTAAACTGGTTAGTTCAGAGTCTTCCCTCTTATTTTCCTTGTACTAAAGGAAAGAGTTTTAATTTTTAGGTTTATTTCACCAGTGATAAACCAGGAATTTGAAAGTAAGTCTACTACTTAACTAGCTGTGAGCTTCTTGGGAAGTCATTTTACCCTGCTAACTTCGGTTTTATGAGCTGTGACCTACTTCTTAACATTGTTTTTGAGAATTACAGATATATATATAATAGTTGTTGTGTTGTTGGTGTTGCTTTTGAGATGGAGTCTCGCTCTATCGCCTAGGCTGGAGTGCAGTGGTGCCATCTCAGCTCACTGCAACCTCTGCTTCTCAGGTTCGAGTGATTCTCTTGCCTCAGCCTCCGGAGTAGCTGGAACTATAGGCGCCCACCAGCAAGCCCAGCTAGTTTTTGTATTTTTAGTAGAGATGAGTTTTTACCGTGTTCGCCAGGATTGTCTCGATCTCCTGACCTCGTGATTCACCCACCTCGGCCTCCCAAAGTGCTGGGATTACAGGCATGAGCCACT